GAGCGTGTGGGTGTTTGGCTGGGTGAGCTTGTGGCTGGGTGAGCGTGTGGGTGAGCGTGTGGGTGAGTGGGTGGCTGGGTGAGCGTGTGGGTGAGTGGGTGGCTGGGTGAGCGTGTAGGCGAGTGGGTGGCTGGGTGAGCGTGTGGGTGAGCGTGTGAGCGTGTGGGTGAGCGAGTGGGTGAACGTGTGGATGAGCGTGTTGGTGAGCGAGTGGGTGAGCGAGTGGGTGAGTGGTTGAGCGTGTGGGTGAACGTGTGGATGAGCGTGTTGGTGAGCGAGTGGGTGAGCGAGTGGGTGAGCATGTGGGTGGCTGGGTGAGCGTGTAGTTGGCTGGGTGAACGTGTGGGTGAGCGTGTGGGTGAGCGTGTGGGTGAGCGTGTGGGTGAGCGAGTGGGTGAGCGAGTGGGTGAGCGAGTGGGTGAGCGTGTGGGTGAGCGTGTGGGTGAGCGAGTGGGTGAGCGTGTGGGTGAGCGAGTGCCCACTCTGTATGTCTGCGTAGTCGATGCTGGCGGTGAAGCGGTGAGTGGGTGAGTGGGTGAGCGTGTGGGTGAGTGTGTGGGTGAGCATGTGGGTGAGTGTGTGGCTGGGTGAGCGAGTGGATGAGCGAGTGGGTGAGCGTGTGGGTGAGCGAGTGGGTGAGCGAGTGGGTGAGCGGGTGAGCGTGTGGGTGAGCGTGTGGGTGAGCGTGTGGGTGAGCGTGTGGGTGAGTGGGTGAGCGAGTGGGTGAGCGTGTGGGTGAGTGTGTGGGTGAGCGAGTGCCCACTCTGTATGTCTGCGTAGTCGATGCTGGCGGTGAAGCGGTGGGTGCCGCGGGCTCCCCAAGCCAGGCGCCCCGCCATGAGGTAGAGGCTCCCGTCCTGCTTTCTGTACCGCACGTGTGACACCAGCAGCAGCACCTCCTCCGAGCTGGACATTGTCAGCCGCGCTCACCTGCTCACTCGGTCAGTCAGTCACTCGCTTGGTCAGTCACTCGCTCGGTCAGTCACTCGCTCGGTCAGTCACTCGCTCGGTCAGTCACTCGCTCGGTCAGTCACTCGCTCGGTTAGTCACTCGCTCAGTCACTCGCTCGGTCAGTCACTCGCTCGGTCAGTCACTCGCTCAGTCACTCGCTCGGTCAGTCACTCGCTCGGTTAGTCACTCGCTCAGTTACTCGCTCGGTCAGTCACTCGCTCGGTCAGTCACTCGCTCGGTCAGTCAGTCACTTGCTCGGTCAGTCACTCGCTCGGTCAGTCACTCGCTCGGTCAGTCACTCGCTCGGTCAGTCACTCGCTCAGTTACTCGCTCGGTCAGTCACTCGCTCGGTCAGTCACTCGCTCGGTCAGTCACTCGCTCAGTCACTCGCTCGGTCAGTCACTCGCTCGGTCAGTCACTCGCTCGGTTAGTCACTCGCTCAGTTACTCGCTCGGTCAGTCACTCGCTCGGTCAGTCACTCGCTCGGTCAGTCACTCGCTCGGTCGGTCAGTCACTCGCTCGGTCAGTCACCTGCTCAGTCTCCTGCTCAGTCAGTCACTCGCTCGGTCAGTCACCTGCTCAGTCACCTGCTCACTCGGTCATTCACTGGGTTGCTCCCCTGCTCCCTCACTCAGTCACTCACCCGCTCACCCAGTCACTCACCCGCTCCCTCAGTCACTCACCCAGTCACTCACCCGCTCACCCGCTCACTCACTCGCTCACCCAGTCACTCACCCGCTCCCTCAGTCACTCACCCAGGCACTCACCCGCTCACCCAGTCACTCACCCGCTCACTCACTCGCTCACCCAGTCACTCACCCGCTCCCTCAGTCACTCACCCGCTCCCTCAGTCACTCACCCGCTCCCTCAGTCACTCACCCAGTCACTCACCCGCTCACCCAGTCACTCACCCGCTCACTCACTCGCTCACCCAGTCACTCACCCGCTCCCTCAGTCACTCACCCAGTCACTCACCCAGTCACTCACCCGCTCACTCACTCGCTCACCCAGTCACCCCCACTCCTCTCTCCCACTCACCCAGTCACTCACCCGCTCACCCAGTCACTCACCCAGTCACTCACCCGCTCACCCAGTCGCTCACCTGCTCACCCCGTCACCCCCACTGCCCTCTCTCTCAGTCACTCACCCAGTCACTCACCCGCTCTCTCAGTCACTCACCCGCTCGCTCCCCCGCTCACCCAGTCACCCACCCACTCACCCGCTCACCCCCACTGCCCTCTCTCTCCCACTGCCCTCTCTCTCTGTCCCACCGCTCCCCCCTCACCTGGGCCACGTGACGTCCGCGCGAGGCTGCAGGCGACTGCGCGTGCGCACGAAACCGCGCCCCGCGAGCCCTCCACTGCCTGCCAGTAACGCCGCCTCCTATTGGCTCAGAGCGCCGTGACGTCATCCACGCGCACCGAAAGCGTTTTGTGCGTCGCGATTCAACGATACCCGCCGTGACGTCATGTATTTGTATGTATGACGCCATTTTGCCTGCGTTTATGTGACGTCATATACGTAGAGCGTTTGCTCGATGGCAGTTATGCAACTTAGTATGACGTCATGTTGTGCGTGTTGGGTTGTGGGGGGGTGGCTTGGCTCGATCCATGGATCGATGGCTTGTGAATCGACGCAGCGGTTCACCACGATGTGAATCGATTCACACTACTATACACTACTGTACACTACACTTAATATACACTACACTATACACTACATTACACTTAATATACACTACACTATATACTACTATATACTACACACACACTACTATACACTACACACACACTACACTATACACTACTATACACTACACACACTACACTTAATATACACTACACACACACTACACTACTATACACTATATACTACACTATACACTACACTATACACACTACACTACTATACACTGCACTACTATACACTACACACACACTACACTACTATACACTACACTATGCACTACACTACTATACACTACACTATACACTACACACACTACACTATACACTGCTATATATTACACACTACTATACACTACACTACTATGCACTACACTCTTTGGTTATTTCGGTAAAGTGACGTAGAAAGAGAAAAGTAAATTAAATAAAAAGCATTCGACGTTTCGATCGCAACACAATTTCGAGTTTCATTTATTTGTGAGCCATTCGGCTCTTGAATCGGCAATCATCACCAGCTACAAATGAGAGATAAACAAACCGAGTAAACTTACAAGTGCAATGATTGTGTGCTGACCGGGTTAGCCTCAGAGTGGCCGTGACGTCACAACTATCAGTGCCAGGCTAGGTGCACCACCTTGCAGGCGACTCGGCACACGTGCACGCGCTGTGGTCGTGTGTGCGCATGCGCGAGGAGTGAGAGAGGTGAAGTTTTCCCGCCAAAAAGGTAACGGCCGTGCACGCGCTGTGGTCGTGTGTGCGCATGCGCGAGGAGTGAGAGAGGTGAAACGGCACGTGCACGCGCTGTGGTCGTGTGTGCGCATGCGCGAGTGAAGTTTTCCCGCCAAAACGGTAACGGTTGCGGCTGCTACTCGGCTATTGATTTTAAATCGGCGGTCAAAAGTTGAGACTTTTCGCGATTGTGCAATGGGTAAACGTGGCCTTAATGTCTCGTTTTGGCCGCGTTTGTGAGGGAAATGTCATCATTTCACGCGGCGACGCGGCCGTTTTTGTTGTGCAAAGTGAACGTGATTGTATGCGGTTAGCGTTTATATACACAACGGGTGTTTTACTTAAAGTCGCATTCACGCGCATCTGTTTGCAACATTGAACCATCTTCTTGGTTCTTTCGGTAAAGTCACGTAGAAGGGAAATAATAAAATAATAAAAATAAAACATAATAACAGGTCGTTCCGACAGACCTGTTCTTCACCTGAGGACGGCTGCTTGCGTTGTGGCCGAAACGTCGTGAGAATAATTTTATTTTATTATTTTATTATTTTATTAATACCCTTCTACGTGACTTTACCGAAAGAACCAAGAAGATGAATCCCTGCACTCACGAAAGCTTTACATCGAAACATTGAACCAATTTCTGCACAAATAACCAAATCCGTGGCCGTCTGGCCTGAACCTGTCAAGTATATATACACTAGCCGACGTTTCAAGCAATGCCCCTTCACAAGTTATTTATTCCGTATGGTGAGAGGCTGGGTGCACCTAGCCTGGCACGGACGCGGTAACCTTAGCAACTGCAATGGCATCTGTCTCACTTTCTTGTGAAGGGGCAATTGCCCGAAACGTCGCCGATTTATCTATTACACGCTGCACCAGGTACTCATTTAAGGCCGAGTCGACCTAAGGGAGGGTTCAGATATTCGCTGGCCACGAGCGGGAATTGAACTCATGACTCTCTGGTATCGTGGCGTCGAATGCTCAAATAGTTTAACAAGTTCTTGATTTAAAAATAAAACTTAATTAAATAATTCTCACGACGTTTCGGCCACAACGCAAGCAGCCGTCCTCTTGCGTTGTGGCCAAAACGTCGTGAAAATTATTTAATGTTTTATTTTTAATATTTTATTTATTTTATTATTGCTCTTCTACGTGACTTTACCGAAAGAACCAAGAAGATGAATCCCTGCAGTCACGAAAGCTTTAAATCGAAATTTAGTTTAACAAGCTTTAGTGATTGTGAAACGGTAGAAAAAAGGGGTAAACCAGCTTAGACTCTTACATTTCATCTATTCAAATGTACTTATTTTTTGCCGCTAATTGCCAGTGGAAAAACACAGCGGTGGTTACCCGCGCCCTTTGTGTTGACCGCAGGACCGGTGCTGGCTCGGTTCGGCAAGGAGCCAGTGGAGAAACAGCGGCGCTGGTGGTGGTGGTGGTGGTACCCGTGCCGGTGTTGACCGCAGGATGAGTGGAGGCCGCTCGTGGCTCCGCTGCTGCTGCTGCCTGCCTCGCAGACACACACAGCCCGGGGACGACGACGACGACGAGATGCAGGTTCGCGACGGTGGACGTGTGGCCAGGGTGACGGTGGTCGAGTGGCCGGGGTGACGGTGGACGTGAGGGTGGGTTCACGGTGGACGTGTGGGTGAGTTCACGATGGACGTGTGGGTGAGTTCACGATGGACGTGTGGGTGAGTTCACGATGGACGTGTGGGTGAGTTCACGGTGGACGTGTGGGTGAGTTCACGGTGGACGTGTGGGTGGGTTCACGGTGGACGTGTGGGTGAGTTCACGGTGGACGTGTGGCCGGGTTCACGGTGGACGTGTGGCTGAGTTCACGGTGGACGTGTGGCTGAGTTCACGGTGGACGTGTGGCCGGGTTCACGGTGGACATGTGGCCGGGGTGACGGTGGACGTGTGGCCGGGGTGACGGTGGACGTGTGGGTGAGTTCAAGGTGGACGTGTGGGTGAGTTCAAGGTGGACGTATGGGTGGGTTCACGGTGGACGTGTGGGTGAGTTCACGGTGGACGTGGGTGAGTTCACGGTGGCCGTGTGGGTGAGTTCACGGTGGACGTGTGGGTGAGTTCACGGTGGCCGTGTGGGTGAGTTCACGGTGGACGTGTGGGTGAGTTCACGGTGGCCGTGTGGGTGAGTTCACGGTGGCCGTGTGGGTGAGTTCAAGGTGGACGTGTGGGTGAGTTCACGGTGGCCGTGTGGGTGAGTTCACGGTGGCCGTGTGGGTGAGTTCACGGTGGACGTGGGTGAGTTCACGGTGGCCGTGTGGGTGAGTTCAAGGTGGACGTGTGGGTGAGTTCACGGTGGTCGTGGGAGATGTGGTGATGCCGCGTCCCAACGGTTTGGTTCTGGATCGGCAAGCAAGCAGTGGAAAAACCACCACCTGTACCCGTACCGTGCTGGCCACCCCCCCCCCCGTCTCGCACTACGATCACAGCATTCTTGTAATTGTGTCCCTTCACTCCCCTCTCCCTACACACACACACCACACACACTCACATACATCACACTCTACCACACTCACATATACACACACTCTACCTATACACACACTCACACTCCACAACTCACACACACACACATCACACTTACATATACACACATCACACTCACATCACACTCACATATACACACACTCACACCATACTCATCTACACACACTATACCACACTCACACACTCCACACTCACATACATACACTTCTCCACACCACTCACTCCATACTCGCATACACACACACTCCATACTCACATACACACATCACACCCTACCACACTCACATATACACTCACTCCACACTCACATATACACTCACTCCACACTCACATTCACACACCACACTCTACAACACTCACATATACACACACTCCACACTCACATACTCATACTACATACATTCACTCTCCACACCACACACTGCCCCACTCACACGACACTCGAATACATACTCTCATCACACACACCACACTACACGCTCACCACACACTACACGCTCACCACACCCCCTCACACCCCCTCACACCCCCCATCACCGGTGCAGCATCACTCGGAGGTGGAGACTCTGCTGGCCGAGTTTGAGGCGCTGCACCTCAAGACGGTGCGGCTGCACAAGAAGCTACGCAGAGAGACCCGCAGAGAGACCCGCGGCGGCGGTGGCGGCGGGTCGGTGGGCAGGCCGAGACAAAACCAGGCCCCAGCTCCCGGCGTGGACTCCGGACCTCACCGCGACCCTCACCCCGACCCTCACCCCGACCCTCACCCCGACCCTCACCCCAACCCTCACCCCAACCCTCACACCAACCCCAATCCTCACCCTAACCCTCACCGCGACCCTCACCCCAACCCTCACCCTCACCCCAACCCTCACACCGACCCTCACCGCGACCCTCACCGCGACCCTCACCCAACCCTCACCCTCACCCTCACCGCGACCCTCACCCCGACCCTCACCCACGGCGGGAATTTCCCAGCCGGAAAAACGCCGATGCTCGCGCAACCGCGGCGGAAGACTTCCCCCCCTGCGAACCGCCGTCGTGGGCCGAGCGTTGGGGAAGAGCGTCAGGGGGCCGCGGGGACGCAGAGAAGATGGGCGCAGAGACGAGGGGGAGGTGGGGGGAGGAGTGGAGGACGAGGAGAATGAGGAGGAAGAGGAGGAAGAGGAGGAAGATGATGATGACGTCTCTTTCGGAGGCAGGGAAGAGACGGGGGGGGCACCACCCGGAGCGAGAGGACGGAGACCCGCGGGGCGACGTGTCGGTCCGCTCCGTCGCAGATTCCCGCTCCACCGCCGATTCCCGCTCCACCGCCAATTTTGGGGAAGGAGACGGAGCCGGAGGCGCGGAGCGCGACGCGGGGACGTCGAGCGGCGAGAGCTCGGTCCGGGCTCCGGCGCCGGCTTCCCGCTCCGGGTCTTCCGTCAATTCCGGGCGCTGGGAGGGAGGAGGGGGGGGGGCGCCCCCCGCGAGGTGGACCAAGGTCGGGGGCTCGTGGAGGCGGAGCGGCCAGGAGCGGCCCCTCCCTCGCACTGGCGCCTACGACCACTCGTAGGGAGGGGGGCGAGGGCGGGGTCGGGGTCGTGGTCATGGCGGGGTCAGGGCGGGGTCAGGGCGGAGTCAGGGCGGGGTCAGGGCGGGGTCAGGGCAGGGTCAGGGCGGAGTCACCGTCAGGGTGGGGTTAAGGGTGGAGTCACCATCAGGGCGGGGTCAGGGCGGGGTCAGGGTGGGGTCACCGTCAGGCAGGAGAGCGGCGAGGGTGCTGCGGGGTCCCACGATGTGGCAGCGGGCACGAGACACGACGGGTGTGGAGCACTGGGCACGAGACACGGGGGGGGGGGGGTGGTGTGGAGCGTTGGGGAAGAAGCCTCGACCTCCCCCAGGTGGCAGGCTCCCGGGACTCACGGGATCTGGGCGTCAGGCTCCGGAGAAGAACCACTCGGGCTGCAGCGAAGGTGTGGGGCCGACTTTTATTTGTCAACACGACAACGCAGCAGCAGCAGCAGCTGCAGCAGCAGCAGCTGAACCCCAGCGAATCGTCAACACGAACGCCACGCCACGAGCCTCTCCACCCTCTCCCGTGCTTCCCCAAGAGCTCGAGTCCGATTCCCACGCGCTTCCCCAACGCTTCCCCCGCGCTTCCCCCACGCTTCCCCAACGGCCGCGTCTTCACGCTCGCTCCTCCCAGGCGCTTCAGTTGTGCCGGAAGAGCTTGAGTCCAACCCAGAGGCCCAGCCTCAGCGCCAGCAGCAGGGGCAGGGCGAGCGCCAGGAGGAGCGCCGCGTGGCACGGGGAGCCGGCGCCCGAGGCGGAGGGGCAGCCCCCGTCGTCGTCGCCGCTGCTGCCCCCCCGCAGCGCCCACACGAGCAGCAGCCCGAGGGAGCAGGCGGGAAGCAGCACGGGGAGCACGGGGAGCAGCGTCGAGAGAGGGGGCAGCACCGGCATGGCTGTGGGGAGAGACACGGGGAGACACACGGGGAGAGTCATGGAGAGACAGAGACAC